AAACCGTGTAGGCTACTTATGGAAAATTTGTTGGTTTCCTGGTACTGTTTTGCTGCAATTTATTACCTGTAGCCAGCATAGTCAATTGTGAAGGATCATGGGAGGTGTAGTCCAACATAGAATATGAAAGAGCACAAGTGTCTGTCTCTCAGCTCATCATTTTTGGTCTCTCTCTCTGTGCATGTTACAGAAAAAGGAGGAGGAGGGAGGAGGTAGTGGAAAATGAACACGCAAAAATACTGAGGGACTTTCACATCCAAACTGACAAAGTTTTGGAACACAATACACCAGACACCACAATTGTGGAAAATAAAAAAGTTTGGATTATTGATGTTGCCATACCAGGTGACAGTCGAATTGTTGAAAAACAACAGGAAAAACTCAGCCGTGATCAAGACCTCAAAATTGAACTGCAAAGACTCTGGCATAAACCAGTACAGGTGATTTCAGTGGTAACTGGCACACTGGGTGCCATGCCAAAAGATCTCAGATGGCATTTGGAAACAATAAACATTGACAATATCACGATCTGACAACTGCAAAAGGACATCTTACTTGGATCTGTGCGTATCATTTGAAAATATATCACACAGTCCTAAATGCTTGGGAAGTGTTCGGCTTGTGATTTTGTGATATGAAATCCAGCATATATCTCGTTTGCTGTGTCATACTGTGTTTTTGTGTCAGTAAAATAATAACAATACTGATAATAATAATAATAATAATAATAATAACAACAACAACTTGATTTTTTATACCATGCCACCATCTCCCGGAAGGGACTAGGGGTGGCTTACAAGCGGGACTTGGCCCATAAATTCACTGTGTATATATGTGTGTAGTGCATGTGTAAGAGAGTGAAATTCTGCATAGCTTAAGGGTACCAAGAGAAAACCTTCTGGAGTGCTGATTTGTATGGGGGTGGGTGGAGTGTCTACATTATACACCTGAGATTCCTTTCTGTTCAGGAAATGTTTATGTGACCCTGGGAATATGAAATAGGTATAAAATCAATTATTTGCTGATAATAAATCAGCATTTATAAGGTTTGTTAAAGAGGTTGATTTACCTTTTTTATCAAGTACAGCTACAGCATTTTCTGCAGTCTACTGTTGTTGTTATCATTATTATTATAATTATAATTATAATTATAATTATAATTATTATTATTATTATTATTATTATTATTATTATTGCTGCTGCTACTACTACTACTACTACTACTACTACTACTACTACTACTACCACCCTGCTTTATCTCTCCCGAAGGGGACTCAAAGTGGTTTAACATAAAAGCATTAGCATACAATTGAAAATATTTTAATACTGCACATTGTTGCTAACAGATTCGTGTAATGCCTAAAACAGCTATTAGGTGGTAGTTCAAAAACCTTTTAGTGTTGCCAAATGTTTTCATGACCCCAACATTGAAGTAAGGGGTCCCATTTAAGGCTGGGACCCACAGTTTAGGGAGCAGTAGTCTCCATGACCCTTTAATCTCCATTCCCTTGAAGTGAAAGGGTCATGTAGACAAGGGGTCCTCACACTTTTTACAAGATTTAAAATGAAGAACAATTTTAACCAATTGCAACTTACCAATATTTCAATAGGACGTGTGGGCTTGCTTTTGGCTGATGAGATAATCAAGTTAATTAGGACTGTTGTTGTGTGCCCTTGAGTTGTTTTAGACTTAGGGTGACCCTAAGTCTAAAGTTTAGCGTGGGGGCTGGGTAAATGACCTTGGAGGGCTGAATGCGGCCCGCAGGCCTTAGTTTGGGGACACCTGATGTTGACAAACCCAGACCTCCTCCTGAACTGTACTATTTAATGAGAAAAGGGAGCTTTCTTTGTATTTTAGTTTCCTCCCCCTGCTTTACAAGTATTAATTGAAACTCCTTGTTTACAGGTCTGTATTTTCCCACTTCTGTTCCTGAGGATCTTTGGATTTAGGCATGTTTAATACATGTGAACAACTAGTGACCCACAAAACTGAACTGCCTGCTTGGCAGTCTTTGTTTATGTCGCCACAGGCACAAAACAGAACAAGTTAATTGAGTTCTGTAAATGACTAACATCTGGTGGGTATTTTTGGCTTGATGCAGCAGGAGTTGTTCAGGTTGGGTAGTTCTCTAATGTGTTAAAAGATTTTAGTGCTATTCCAATGTTATTTAAATTCACTGATGGTGCAACTGAAACCTCACTTGGAAACCAATAGGAATCAAAGTACATAGGTGATGGAGACAGAGCTAAAATATAGCCATTGTTAATTTGATATATTACAAATAGAACAAGAAATATCGGGTTTTGCAATTTAATTAAAACTACTTTGCTTGTTTCTGTGAGTGGTTTATATAACAAGAAATTTCTTTTCAATTGAAAACACACACACAACCTGCTTGTGCTTCAGGTGTATTGGGTTAAACCAGAAAAGAAATCCTCTATTTATGAATCAGTTGTCCTTTCTTTCTTTTTATAAGAATTTGTGATACACCTACATTAACCCTAAGCTTTTTGTTATTGTTGTTAACAATTATCATCGACTGTGACCTTTGGCAGTTACCCTGCCAAGTCACTATATTATCAACAGCTCGGCTAAGGTCTTGCAAACTCAGGGCCTAAATCTAAGATTATCTTGCCAAAATGATCCTGATGGGATTAAAATGAAAAACAAGAATTATGATGTCCTTAAATTTCTTTTCTTCCTTTATCTTTAATTATATTGGACCCTGGAGTTCATGGAAATTCATGAGGTCACCATAAGTCTAAAGCATTGCCTTACAACATTTTTATTTATGCAATGCCTTTGATACAAAATACATAAAACTAAATCTGGACACTGCAGTTCTGTTGACATAGTAGAGAACTGCATTAGCTTCTTCTACTGTTGCATTACAATGTTGATTCATGTTAGGCTTGTTACTTACTTACTTACTTACTTACTTAGGCGATCCCTTGTTGGCCGAGTAGGATAGTCTTCCAGGATCAGTATTCTTGTGGATCCATAGGTGACTGTGGAGCCCTATTCTTGACCTGCATCTTCTCCTGCAGTGAGGGCATTGGTTTCCAAGTGGAAGGCGGTCTCAGTCGGAATTGGCTTGATGTGCCTTCCTCTTGGCACGTTTCTCTCTTTCACCCTCCATTCGTGCCTCTTCAAATTCTGCAGCACAGCTGGTCACAGCTGACCTCCAGCTGGAGCGCTCAAGGGCCAGGGCTTCCCAGTTCTCAGTGTCTATGCCAGAGTTTTTAAGGTTGGCTTTGAGCCCATCTTTAAATCACTTTACCTGTCCACCAACATTCTGTTTTCTAGTCTATTAAGATTCCTAGATCCTTTCCATGTATACACATTCAAGCCAGATTTCACTCCTCCTACAGTTTTTCATGTGATATTTTCCCCTGATTAGATACAGACATGTGTATTTCTTAATTACATTTCAGAAACGTACATGTTAGAGCAAATTCACTAAGGGGAAAGCACAAGGATTTGCCATCACTTGGAGTGACCCAAGGCTGGCATCTTTGAGCAGACCAAAACTGAGCCACTAAGACTCGACAGTTCAAAGAGGTTCGGAGCTTGCTAGATTTGACACCTTAAGCCCACTATGAACTGGCGCTGGTCAGAGCTAGCACTTCAGATCTTCTACTTGTGACATTGCGGCATCTCCTGAACCTTGTGTAGTATTGTGATAGGGATCTTCTAGGATCTCCACAATCCCAAGATGTGATATGGCAATCCAGTGGAAGTTCTTGGGGAACTGTCAAAGTGACATGATGTAGTTGCCCTTGTAAAGTTTCCTATTTGATGAAAATGGATGGATCTTGGAGAAAGTAGTCTTGGGCCAGCAATATGAGAAGCCTCTGTTTAGGGCAGTGGCTCCCAACCTGTGGTCGTTGAACCACCAGTGGTCTAGCATTGTGATAGGGATCTTCAAGGATCTCCACAGTCCCAAGATGTGATATGGCAATCCAGTGGGAGATCTTGGGGGATTGTCAAAAGTGACATGATATAGCTGCCCTTGTAAAGTTTCCTATCTGATTAAAATGAGTGGAGCTTGGAGAAGGTAGCCTTGGGCCAGCAATATAAGAAGCCTCAGTTTAGGGCAGTGGCTCCCAACCTGTGGTCTGTAGACCACCAGTGGTCCCCAAGAACTGAAATATGGTCCATGGCCTCACCGTTACTATGCCGTTGCAACAAGAGCGACTAGTCTTGTGAAACCTTCTTATAGTGCCGAGAATTATTGACTATGGTTTTCTGTGGGGAAGTAAATGGTGACTACTTGGTGGCATATGTTCTGTATCAGAAACTAGAGCTGATGGGGTCTATCCAATGCAATTTTCTAAATCAGCACCCCAAATAACCAAACCGAATCTAAAGTTGACCAAAATCTGATTCGTAACCCTTTTGGTACTCATGTTGGAGAGTGGTTCCTGGTTAAAGTGGTCCTTGGTCAAAAAAAAGGTTGGGAACCACTGGTTTAAGGAAACATGTCAATATCCTCCCAGACATCAGGATGCAGCACATCTAGTTCTGCTCTGCTCTATTAAGAAAATATATAGTCTGGCATGACTTGTTTTTGGTAAATCCATGCTGGATTTTGGTCATCACCATATTATTTTCTAAGTGTTCATAGACTGATGTTATAATGATCAACAGATGTATTCTTGATGTTTGTACTGACACCAAACTGACCAACTAGTCCTTGTCTAGTACTCAATTGGGAAGATGGGACATCTGCTCACTTCCAAGCTTTAGGAACCTCACTGATTTTTGATGAGCTCGCAAAGATTATAGACTCAATCTGTGAGAATACATCTGCAAGTTCCTTTAATATTCTTGTTCATCTGGTCCTGGAGACCTGAATGCATTTGAATTAGATAGAATTTCCCATACTACTTTTTCACCTTTTTTGCCCTATAGCCTCTTCATCGCAACATCTAGTACTGTACTGATGTTCTGTTTCAGGTATATTGTTTTCAACACAACCATTAACCAAGAAAATTGATTTTCAATGAATCAGTTCATTTTAATATATAACACTGACAGTACATATACCCCCATAAAGAGCAATATAAAGTCAATTTTAGGAACCAAACAGGGACAGTCTGCACTGTGTTTCATTTAGTAGCTTCTTTCTTATTCATTTCCCTGAAGGACAAAGCTCTAGCCCTCTACATGCATAATTTAAGTTATTCAACAAAATCTGCACTAAAGACGGCTTCAAATAAGCAATCTAGTGCTTTAAACGGTTCTCCTACCATCTCTTTAAATGATCTCCCCAAGGCATACAACATATTCCTGTACAACCTTTAGCTAAAAGATCACCTCTATTATGGCAATCCACTTCCATCACTTCTTCCAGTCGTTTTCTCTCAGGAATAATTCTGAGTATTCTGCACTGGAGGAACTCATTAGAAACAAAGGTTTATTTCCAAGCACGTGGCTATTGCAAAATTCTACGTATATTGCTTCCATACACAACATTTCAGTAAAACGTCAGCCCACTATTGAATAAGATTAACAGAAAGCACAATACGATATTAGTGTTTCATTAGCTATCTGACATGAGAGAGTGGTATTTTTCTTTTTTTATATTGTCTGAGGGACCATTATGGTATTTGTGCCCATTGACTAGAATTGTTTCTTCCTGTTCTGTGAGAGCTGTTCAGCAGTGGAACTCTCTGCCCCGGAGTGTGGTGGAGGCTCCTTCTATGGAGGCTTTTAAACAGAGGTTGGGTGGCCATCTGCTGGGAGCTTTGAACACAATTTTCCTGCTTCTTGGCAGGAGGTTGGACTATATGGCCCACGAGGTCTCTTCCAACTCTATAATTCTATGCATCTTGGATGCAGTAGCTGATGGGCACCAGTCTGTGGGCCATCACTTTAAATGGCACTGCGCTATGGCACGAATGCTTGGAGACCTCTTCTAACTAGTGAAAGGAATTCTGCTATAAATTATGCATTGGTTTTGCAAATGAAGGCACTTAACGGCAGCACCACACTTCAGGAATAAAACACCATTTTTGTGTTTACACTGTATTACTCAAACACTTCTTGGGAGGAGAGCAATGTCCAGTCTCGATAAAATAGTAAAGAGTAGAGACATCACACTGGCAACAAAGATCCGCCTAGTCAAAGCCATGGTATTCCCTGTAGCAACCTACAGATGTGAGAGCTGGACCTTAGGTAAGGCTGAGCGAAGGAAGATAGATGCTTTTGAACTGTGGTGTTGGAGGAAAGTTCGGAAAGTGCCTTGGACTGCGAGAAGATTCAACCAATCCATCCTCCAGGAAATAAAGCCCGACTGCTCATTGGAGGGAAGGATAGTAGAGGCAAAGTTGACGTACTTTGGCCACATCATGAGGAGACAGCAAAGCCTAGAGAAGACAATTATGCTGGGGAAAGTGAAAGGCAAAAGGAAGAGGGGCCGACCAAGGGCAAGATGGATGGATGGCATCCTTGAAGTGACTGGACTGACCTTGAAGGAGCTGGGGGTGGTGACGGCCAACAGGGAGCTCTGGCGTGGGCTGGTCCATGAGGTCACGAAGAGTCGGAGACGACTGAACGAATGAACAACAACAAACCCAAACAAATGGGTATTATTATTATTCTGTTTTTTATACCACGCTTTTTCTCTCCAAAAGGAGACTAAAAGCAGTGTCACACACAGCAAAGCCTTAGCCCATACAGGTAGATGTGGAACTTGATGGACTGGCAGCCTATCAGCAATACATAATGTATGTAAAATATGTGCATTAGTATCATCATCATCAATGATCTGTAAATGGGCATTGTGAGATTACTCTGTATGCATTTAAACTTTAATTGCACCGTTGACATTTTCCATCCCTACCTTCCCTACAACCAAATGTATATACATCTATTAATGCAGGATAATACTTCATGGCCTTGATGAAAACAACTCTAGTCATAATAAATCTTTAGTTTTACTGAAATAACCTAGCATAGTTATTCATATCATATTGGAAATGCTATCAGAGAGCAGGAGTAGTAGAGCCTGGACCAGAAAGCAGTGAAACGTCAGGAGAAATGCCTCTAGAACATGGCCCTATAGCCCGAAAAAACCCACAAGAACCTACTGGACCAGAAAGTTCTTAGCCCACCATGATGCATTTACAGAGTGGCCCTCAGAAACTAACACAAAGGTCTCTGAGGTTAATTTAAAATGACTTCATATCTAGAAATAAAATACTTTCATTTGTTTATGGGAGTGTTAAGGTAAGAAGATATTTCAGTTATGTTTAAGTTACAGGCTGAGCATCCCTTATCTAGAATTCCAAAATCCAAAATACTCCACCTATGAAGCTGATACAATGACACCATTACTTTCTGATGGTTCAACATACACTAACTTTGTTTGACACACAAAATTATTTAAAATATTATTTAAAATTGCCATCAGGGTATTTGAAATATGCCTATATTTCACATGCTGTGTTTAGCTTGGATCCCATATCTAATATATCTCAATATGCTGTTGGAAATGGCAACTTTCTCAAGCCTCCATTAGTTGTTTGTTATGTATATAATGCCTTACTGTATTGTATATGTGTGTACTGGTATGCAATTTTAGCGTAATTCTTTGTTGTAGGAGGGGCTGCAGACCATGTGATCAGGTCTGGGCTTGTTCATGACTCAGCCTCCATTTTAGAACAGTACAGTTTAAACTTCGGTAGAGAAGTATGTTTTAGAGACTTCACTGGACTTTCAGACTACACAGAGACTCTATTAGACTTTTACAACAGAGAGATGCTTTGGACTATGGACTATTGATTCTAAGAAAGATACCCTGTGTTACCTACACAGAGAAACTCCTTCAAATCTACTTGTAACTGGATTGATAAGAAAAGTACCAGAATGCTGAATACATAAAGTTTGTGAGTAAACCAACTATGTGACTTTTAAAGAAGTCTGCTTATTTTTGTCTCTTGAGAGCATGACTTAAAGGCAAATATATTTAAGGCAGAGTGGATGTTTTTGGGCAACTAAAAGGAACACTTCTGAAACTCTACTCTGTGTGTGTGTGTGAGAGAGAGAATGTGTTAGTGAATGCCATTTTCCCACAAGGTTATGACTCTAACAAGTCATGCTTTTACCAGGAGGTTATGGCATCATTTTTCAAAAGGTTGTGACTTCTAACAAGATCATGCCTTTCCAAAGATCAAAATCTCCAAAAACCTTCTGGAGGTTTCCATTTTGCAAAACATGTGTGATTATAGAAATGCAGGTATTCCAAAATGAGAAAAATCCAAAATATTTTCGACCCAAGCATTTCAGATAAGGGATACGCAACCTGTATTTACAGTTGGTCTAGAAGTGGGAGAAACAATGTTGTACATGATTTAAGAAAAAAAAAGGATGATCAGATCCTTTGGTGTAATCTTCCTTTTCTTAGGTGACCCCCGTCACATTTCAGTAAAGGACAGTCAGATTACAAAGCAAGGTCACATCTTGTCCCATCGTATAATCCTACTGGTTTGTTAAATCCTAAAAATCTGCAGCAACCAGTAATCACTTAATTTAGAGAGCATCAATATGTACCTAAACATATGACATCAATTTTACAGGAAAGGCTTTCATTCCGGCATTGCTGACAAATAGGCCAGCACAATGTTTCAAATATGATGCTTTTCTATTTAGTACATCAGTGTCCCATGTTAATTTCCACCAATGAACATGTTTTATCTTAAATTAATGCAAACGATATGAAAGAATTTTTCCTATTATATAACAATGTGTTTAAATAGTTAGCTAAATACAAAAGTGTTTTACTCTATGTGCAAAACTGCATCTAGTGTCCTTCAAAGGCTCTGTGATCTCCCAATGGATTTGGGGATAGTTTTGAATTTTATATACGACTAGGTTGCTGGTTCAGAGGTCACTGTTGTGTCTTCAAACAATTAGTCTGCATATGAGAGATCTGGAGAACTGGAAGCAATAACTGGAACGCATCCTGAATGTAAGTGGTGCTGTTGCAGCCCTAATGAAGAAAGAAAATGTATATTAACAATATATAGTAATGGGTTTCATTGATTCTTCAATCCCACTTACCTTGAAATCAATGAAACCTGCTTCCAAGTGAGGACAATAACATGCACTATAATCAATGCAGGAAATGAATGTTATGTTGATGCTATATAAATATATACAAGCAACTGGGAAATTGGATTCCCAGACATGTATGCACACTCAATTAACACATGTATAGGTGCACACGATATTTATTCATGATGCTGTATATAGCAAACTAATGCATAATAGTGCATGACTATATTTGTGAAGATGAGCAAGTTACATGTCTTGGCAGGTTGAAGTCATTCTACTACTATTGCTGTTTCACGCTCAGGTAGAAACGTGGTGCACTCAAAGTATTTTGGCATTCAGACCTCACAACCTCTGAGGATGCCTGCCATAGATACAGGTGAAACATCAGGAGAGAATGCTTCTAAAAAAACAGCCATACAACCCAAAAAACCTACAACAACCCAGTGATTCCGGCCATGAAAACCTTCAACAATACATTCATGATTTTCTTTTGATCTGCAGATAAAGACTGAGGAAAGAGACTCACTGAAAAACATCCACTGAGTTTACAATGGAGGCAAGAATCAAACTGCAACCTCTCAATTTGTGAACCAGTCTTTTAGCTTAATGGTAGAACTATGAAATATTCTAATCTTTGATGCTAAAACTAGCCAACATACATTTTGATGGCTCAAATGTTAGAACTATTCTCGGGTATATTTGACATGCTGGTTCAAAAAATTGGCATCAGTTTCCCCTTAACAGCTCTAAGTTTTGAGTTACAAAATGTATGCCCTATACCACTTCATCTGCACACCCACAAGAAATCACGCAACCATTAGGCTTTGTGCATTTCAGGTAAATTATCCGTTTCTGTATGCCGGATACTGGAAGCCCCCCATATCAATTTTTGCATGGCTCCCAAAAGCTCCAAAAAAGTGGCTCTTTTCGGTCCATCGATGGCAATTGGGAACTTAAGAGGCTCTCCTTTACCCTTTCCTTTCTTCCCTTCAAGGGAGCTTGGGTGTCAGCAAAAGGATTAAGAAAGTAGTGTACCTTATCCAGCCCATTATGGGTGGACTTCCCACAGGCTCTCCTTCTATGTCCTTCATTAAGACCTGGATTTTAAAAAGCATCAGAGTTAAGCTACCACTCTTTCTGGATCCTTTCCCTTCTGTTTGTAGAGGAGGAGACTGGGTTTAATGTTTCTTAATGCTACTCTAGAGGAGAGACAAACGCACATGCTTTTTCTCCCAGCGCTAGCAGCATGCCACACAGGTTTTCAAGCCATTTTAAGGAGGCCCAGGGAAAGAAGAGCGATGACCTGGAACTCAGTGGAGACATTCTCCCTGGACTACCTTAAAAATCTCCTCTCCCCAATCTCTCTTCTGCTTGGGGTTTTGCTTCCTTAAAGCTGTTTCTACTTTCTACTGTAGAGAAGAGGTAGGCTTCTCTTTTTGTTTGCTGGGATAACTATTAGTAATAATAATAATTATCTTTTAGAAGTATTTTCTGAAGGAGAACAAGGGAAGGAGAAAAAGAAGCTAAACGGATGACTCTCCAAGCTCCCAAACATGCATGCACACAAATACCACCCACCGCCCCTCAGACCCCCAACTCCCAGTCAGTCCCACTAAATAAAAAGTGGGCCTGGAATTTCAATGAAGTAACTAAGTTTGATGTTTCTTCACAGAAATATACAGACACGGTAAGTTTCATTTGAAAAGTATAGCAAAATGGTTCCTTATGTATGGTAGTTGAAATCTTACCTCTAGTAGCACACCATTGACCATCGGATTAAGGAATTCAGCCTTTCTGTCACTCTGTTTAAATGACAACATGGTTAAAGTTTAATATAGGGAAAATATAATAAAATGAAACATTTCTTTCATGTGATAATGCATTAAGGTTTTACTATGGCAAAAATATACAAATACAATATATCAAACATGAAATGCACTATGTAACAAAATTTGAAAACAAATCTATTCCTGGTTTGAAAGTGTTATTTCCTGTTTAATAGTGTGATACTTACTTTGAAAGTATGTGGCTGTTATACTTCAGAAACTTCATTTTTGTGGCTGCCACAAACTATGGTGAATTGGTTGAGACTCAATGAGATATTCATTGAAAAGCTACAGCAAAATGTGTTGCAGGATGTCACATAAAAACAAAGATTTTGCAATTTAATAAACGTTGCCCATGTTTTTATGATAGAACAAATTAGGAAATGACCTTTATAATCCAGGAACAAAAATCATGCTATATAGTGATATTGTTTTCATTCCATTACATTGTATGATGGTGGACGACAACTTGATTCTTCCTAGTCTTATGAATCTGTTGATATCTCTATCTCATTTTGCCACTCAATACCTTCCCTTTGCTTCTTTCACTCCGATTTTCTTATTGCCCTCTTCTATTTTTGTGTGCGCCAAGAATCTGTTTCTAGTTCTCTTTCTCCTAACACTTTCTTCAACCCTTTTTGCTTTTTCCTCTGTCACTTGTAAGGCAGATTATTTTTGTCACTGTCTAATCACTCCAAGTTTCCTTCATCCTATCCTAATAAAAATCGAGGTTTCTATCATTCTCTGTCCCTTGCAACATTGTTGACCTATTCCTCATTTCTACCTTTGCATTAAAAATGCCCAAATTTCGCAATAAAAAAGCACATGCTTTGAGTTATCCTGCTCCTTTACAATATGGACTACTTGATTTCCCTTCTTTTTAAATCAGTTGTGTCACTCCTTATTTTTTTAAAAATTTCTCCTCTACTGTCTCTCTTGGCTTCCTATAATCTGCCTTCTATTATGTCGCACCTCGGGGTAAAATCACCTTGCTTAAGACACCAAAGAACACACCAGCAGTAATCTTTATGGTTTATTAAAATAAAAGTTCAAAAGTTCAAAAGGCAAAAGTATATTTCAAAAGATCAATCCAAGGTAACATAGGCAAACAAGATCCATGAAGACACAGGCAAGGCAAAGTCCCATGAGAACATGACAAAGTCCTGAAACATGAACATGAAAGCTGCAAGATAAATCCAAAGTTTCTTGGTTGAAGCGGGAAGTTGCTTTGACACTGAAGCATATTCAAACAGCCTGCTTAATACTCTTTGGACAACATGAAGGCGTTCCTATGGCCCCGAGCCTCCCTCTCTTGCCTGCTAGTGATCCCGACACTCGTTCGAACCTTAAATTCCAACTGATCAGCTCAATATAAACCTCCAGCTTCATCAAGGTCAATTCCTTCGTTAGTGCTTTCCCCCTCATTATCAGGCTGAGAACTAGCTGGTTGAGAACCATTCTCCCTTCCTGAATCCTGCACCTGGCTCTCAGTAGTTTCACTTTCCCCAGCGTCATCCCTTGCTATGGGAAACAACTGAACTTCTGCCCCCTGTTCCTGGTCGTCTTCGTCTAACACAGGGACATCATTGCTTTGCACCTGACTGTGAATCTGAATCCCATCATCCCCATCAGAATCATTGACACTATCACTCTGAGATTCCAGCTGAGTAACAACATATTAAAACAGGTTTCGACAAAAAAATTGGCCAACTCAAACTGAAAGACCTCTGCTCTGTCCTTTTTTGCTGCTTTTAGATGGCATCCATCACCCTTTCGTGCTTGCCTCCCTCCTTGCCTGAAGATTTCAGGAAAAGGAATAAATGACATTTGAGATCATAACCTTTTGGAAAACCAGAATCTCCAAAGCCTTTGGAAGATTGATTGGCATTCACACAATTTGGAAAATCATAACCTTTTTGAAAAGTATGATCTTCCTGAGAAGAGCTAAAAACTTGTTTGAGTGAATCATACAAGGCAAATTAGGTTTCTCAGTTGTCAGACTGATATACCTGGTTATCTCTTTGAACTGTTAGGAACAAAAACTATACCAATGCATAAAATATAGAGCAGATCTTCAGAAGTGTTATTTCAATTGCCCAAAAACATTTACTCTCCCATAAAATATATCTGGTTTCCATTTTGCTCTCAAAAGGCAAAATCTTTGTTAAAAGTATTATAGTTGGTTTACTTCCAAACATGTATTCAGCATACAGATACATTGCTTATAAGTTGAAAGTTTAAACAGTAAGTTCTCCAAGGCATTCTGTTGCAGTCTCTTCTCTGTCTTATATCTAATGCATAACGAATACTGACTATATAATACAATACACAACACAATACTACACAAAACAGTAAGGTAAAGGTAAAGCTTTCCCCTTGATATTAAGTCTAGTCATGTCCGACTACGGGGTGGTGGTGCTCATCTCCATTTCTAAGCCAAAGAGCTAGCATTGTCTGTAGATGCCTCCAAGATCATGTGGCTAGCATGATTGCATGGAGCGCCTTTACCTTCCTACCGTAGCGTTAGCTATTGATCTACTCCCATTTCCATGTTTTCGAACTACTAGGTTGGCAAAAGCTGGGGCTAACACTGGGAGCTCACCCCACTCCCTGGATGTGAAACTGCCAACCTTTTAGTCAGCAAGTTCAGCAGCTCAGCGGTTTAACCCGCTGTGCCACCAGGGGCTCCATAAAAAACAGTACAGATTTCCAAAATGGAGTCCCAGTCTGAATAGTCTGAATAGTCCCAAACTTGATCATATGGTCTGAAGTCCCTCCCACAACATGAAACAATGTAGAGTTAAGGGAAAACTGCATACCAATACACACATACAATATAGTAAGCAACCTGAATTATATACATAACAAATAACTAGTATAGGAGGCTTGTAAAAGGTTGCTATTTCCAACATTGCCCTAAGATTCAGCAATACTACTGTATAATGAGTTGCTAGCTACCCTTCTTCTTTCTTCCTCACCTATTTTCAGTATTTCCATAGGGAAAGTTATTTTGTTGCCTTGTTTTTTGGCTGACGTTCCCAGGGATGTCTTTTTCAGTCTGTTCTATTTTCCTTTGCATTCTATTCTTTGTAGACTTCAGTAAATCCCATGATAATCAGCACCATTGTGGGCTAATGAAACCCTTTCTTCTTCACCACAGAACATAACGTCCTTTTTTTACATTCCTGAATCTCCAGTCAGCTTATATTTTCATTTTCACAATTCAGTATCTTCAAACCTGAGCTTCTTATCTTTCATCCCAACCCTTCTACTTTTTATCTAATTTTCAGCCGTATTTGCATACAACATCACCATCCCTGCTGTGCATCAAGCACAAAGCCTTTATACTGGTTGCTTATTCTTCTTTGTTCCTCATTCTGCCACCAAGTTATGTCACTCCTTTCAGGGCAGCATTATGAAAGTACTACCTCTCTGCTGTTCATAAAAAAGAATATTCTTCCCATTGACTTTTGTTGGAAAGTGCAGCAACTGGTACAACTTTTCTTGCTATCCTCTTGTCCACTATCTGGAGGTTGGTAAACGTGAATAAACAGATGTATTACCACAGTTATTAAACCAAGATATACCCTGCAGTATAATAAAGTGTTACTCAGGCTTGTGTAACAAGTAACAGTATCTTTACTTCAGTTCTAAAGTTCAAACAGGGCAACAATATATACAGCAGTCTCTCTTAATTCACACAGAGAACAGAGGGAATAAAATAGTCCTTTTAAATAGTCTTTAAATATGCCTCATGCCTTAAAACAATCAAGCTTCAAGAGAGTTGGCAGCCAGCACTCTCTTCACTGTCTAAAGTGAAAATAGCAGTTAGAACTGTTAGTCTCAGCAGCAAGCCAGAGACAGCAGCCAATCAGAACTCTGGCCCCTGGCAAACCCAGCCAATCAGCTGCCTTTCCACATGTCTTTCCAGTTAACCCTTTACATCATGGCATCCCTTTCAAATCCTCACACAGTCGTGATAGAATTGCTTTAGCAGAAAAATGTATTAAGAAATTGGCTTTTCGTTAACTTCTTGCTTGCTTAATCTGTCTGCCACCTTTCTCAAAAATTATGGACAGATTTGGGGAATGATAAGGAGAAGCCTGCTGAGTATGCTGTGAGTGGGATTTGCGGGCGATGGGGGGGGTTGTCTAGTTGGAGCAGCAGGTAAAACCGCTAGCTGCAGAAAACCTGCTGACCAGAAGGTTTGCAGTTTGAAGGCGTGAGCTCCTTCTGTTAACCCTAGCTTCTGCCAACCTAGCAGTTCAAAAACATGCAATGTGAGTTGATCATGTCAGAAACATTAAATATTAACTAGGTATTTTAAATTACAAATATGTGAGTCAAGCACTGAAAGGGTTAAATGGATGCAATGACGCAGCAAAATCTGCTGTTCAATATAAGCAGGTGTGCCTGTAGCTTAATAGCCATCAGTCTGAGGCAGCCCTCGGTGTGAGAGGTCTCTGTGGGAGAAGGGCCTCAGTGGGATTGTAGATCTCAGTGTTAGGCCTCAGTATAAGAATGCCTCAATGTGTGAGGTAAGCCTTTGTATGAGGAAGCCTCGTGTGTGAAGCTCCAGTGTGAAGGTTGAACTTCATTTGTGTTATGGAAACCTTGTTCTTGTAAATAGTGCAACCATATTATTTTGCTATAAAGAAAAACCTTCTATGGAAGAGATAAATTGGTCTGTGTGTTTTTGTTCTTTTTATCACCTTGGGCTATTGGTGTTGGGTCATGCTGCTGCTAATAAGTTACTGTACATTTATGAGGAGGGTCTTTCATTAATAATCCCACTCACCCAAAACAGATCAATAGATACTGCCTCAACGGGAAGGTAAAAGGTGTCCATGCAGCCACGCCAGCAACACAATCAGGAGGTGTCTATGGACAACAGGGTCCTCAGCATGAAAATGGATCAAGAGCATCTCCCCATGGCCAGAGTTGAGCACTGCCCCCAGACATTGGAGATGAGAAAAGGAAACCTTTGCCTTTGTTTGTGTATTGTATGTCATTGTTGTTCATTGTATAAAAGGCATTGAATGTTTACTATATATGTCTATACTGTAATCCACTCTGCGTCCCCTCGGGGAGATAGAGCAGAATATAAATAAAGTGTATTATTAAAGATAATTTCCATTATATTTTATTGTATTTTGACTGTATTGTAACTTCTATACTCATGACACAAATATTTATTTTTTAAAAAGTTTTATATGTATATGTATTTGCTTTGTTTCGAAATGTGTATTGTATTCTGCCATTTCATTGTTAGCTGCCTTGAGTCCCTATGGGATAAAAATAAAGTAAATCCTCCTTTTTCTTTTGAGAATCCTAAGACCTATTTTCTACCTTCACTTGGTTCTTACACATTCATCCGCCCAAATTGGGCACTATTACTGTTGCTGGAGAAAAGGCCTTTCTTTCCAATACAAATCTCTCTGCATGAAAAACATTCGAACAATTTTATCCCCTATAGTTCACCCACTCCTTCATTGTAAGATTTTGAGACAGGGACCTATCTATTGCTTCAAGTTCTCACACTGCAATCATCAGAGTCAGTGTTACGATGATGACCATCATCATCCCCGAAGACAAGAGATTGTAAAAACGGGGAAAGAAGACGGACACAAGACTATAAAAATAACAGAACTATTTCGAAGTCAATAGTTTTAAAAAATCATTACCCTTCCCTTTTTTATTTCAGTATATATAAACCCCGTGAAACATAAAATGAGTGTCTGTTAAGCAATATTGGTTGATGTAATCAATGGTTGGGCCAAACAACATGAAGGAAATCTATAATGATAAGCAGGAAAAGCAATTGCAGTTTCTCAGTTAATTGTGGACTTCTAGCGACAAGGACAGAATTACAGCACAGTCATTATTTATATGGTCGAAATCTTTAGCAGTTTTGTGTTGATGCTATTAATTTGGCAGGCTGCAACTTCTCTAAATGGATATGTAATGTCTGGTGCATATAATCCTCTCGCAGCTGTTTCCACACCTTGTTGCTATGCTTAAAATAACTTCATGAGAAATAAGATTCTCGCAATTGGCTCATTAGACAATTGTAAAATATATGACCAGTTTTGTCCTCAGTCAAATTATGAATAGTGGCAGTGACACTGACTTTGAGAGAATCAAGATTCTCTAGCAATCTATATTTTGCATGTGAGTATAGATATCAGAGATGTGCAACCCACAAAAATTGTTCAAAAGTCATTACAAAACTGGGGGGTGCTAGCACTTTGTTTCTAAAGTATTTCTAAAGTATAGTCTGTGAAAAATTTATTATTATGAGAATAACAAAATTCTGTTACTATTTCATTATAGTAATTGTGCATAATTACTATAATTGGGGAAACTTCAAGGGCTACTTTCTCGCTCATTTTTACAGCTATTTGAGTGAAACTTGCTACAATGGTAGAACACATTTTCCACTGTTAGCCCACCACATTTCAGAGTGTTTCACTTATCCACAAATTTTGGGGGAATTTGCAAAATCTTTATAAACAACTTTAAAAAAAACTACAAGAGCTATCTACTTGAATTTTAGATACAATGCACAAGATTACCAGGGCATCAATCCCCAGAAGTTTCAAAAAGAGTCACACATTTATGATTTTTGGGTTTTTTTTAAAGTTTAAACAAAAATAATTTATCTTCCCAAAACGTGACAACAGCAATTCCCTTGGATGTCTGTCTTTATGACACATGACCACATAACTTCAACTTAGCACAGATTTATACTATTACTTATTTACTTTAGTCCTCTTTGCAGATTCAATAATTTCATTTCTTATTATTAGACTGATTCTAAGCGTCTGGCTGCTGCACCCTCATTGGGTCCTTCAGATGCTGAGCATTGCATTCTGGGGAATGCAATGCATTCTCTGCCACAGGGGGGCTCACCTTCCCAAACTACATTTAAAATGTCTTTGTTCTCAGTCTTCTGCCCAATAACTTTAGTCCGCCCCCCAGTGCCTTCTTTATGGTGATTGAGACAAAGAAAACAGGATTGGTTTTTAAAACACTTTATGTTTTCTTGGCTTCACCAAAGTTGCTTAATGCTTATACTGAAAATTAAACTGAACTTGGGAGGCATCCAAATGTAACAGAATCTTAACGAAAATGATTGGTGAATGTTTCCATTTTTAAATCGCCCCCACCTTTCCTGCATGTTTCTAATATCGATTCGTATACACAAATTTAACAAAATATGAATTAAAAATTAAATTATGCTCAATCCTAATAAATAACTGAAGAAGAATGTATTTATATATATTCCTATATGTATGTCTCTCTGTGTTAAATATGGATTACCCAATCCCTTTCAGATGGCTAGTAAACATTTCTCCTATATCTGATTTGTTATGTTGTTGTTGTGCCTTAAAGTCTCTTTTGACTTTTGTCAACCCTGAGGTAACCTTCACATGGGTTTTCTTGGCAAGAATTACTTAGAGGGGGTTTGTCTTCCTCTGAGGCTGAGAAAATGTTTACTTGCCTAAGGCTGAGCATGGATTCAAACCCTGGTCTCCAGAGCCATAGTCTAACACTCAAATCACTACTCAATATTGGTTCTTGCTTTGAAGTCCTATAGTGCATTAAAACAAAATGAAGTATGTTAAAATCAATTTTGAATGCATATCCCCATCAGAAAGGAAGTGACAACTTCCGAGGCCAAAAACCTCTGCTCTTTACTTTGAACTTCACTTCTATAGTTCAGCTGTGTGTGGATATTTGTTTGCTATGAACATAGAGCATGTCACAGATGAATCCCTTTGAAATTCTGCATAGTTATATCAAGCAAAACTGCTGGAGTGCAAAGACGTCGAAGCCAAAGCTTGAAATCATGTAAAATGCTTAGTTTTGAAGCTGTATAGTATTAATATTTCAGGCTGATCTTTTTTTCAGTTTGTTATAAATATTTATTGATACTGCCTCAAAGAAATCTGATAAAATAGGAGAAAAAAATGCAGAAACAGACAAATTCTTTTAACACTAACTTAAATTATCCAAAGTAAAAGCAATATAATTAAAATAATTTTAAAAAGAAACTCAGAAAGAGTGTCAACTCAGAAAAAGGACTCGTAAGATCTCCCTTTCAAATGTTATCATCAAATAGGAATGAGACATGTCATTTTTCTTTCTCTGGAATTAATAACACAGAAATGCCTTGAGTTAAGAGTTTAATTCATTCCACGTCTGAGCTCTTAACTAAAAGCAAATTTCCCCACTGAAATGCTATTAATCCGATCCAGCCCCTAGAAAACCTCCCCCATTTTTGTTACATTTTTAAAATAAGAAAATGTAATTTATAAATAACATATAATGTATAAATGAACATTCACATGGAACAATAAAAAAAAGAAAAATCAACTTTAGAATGGTAGAAGTACAAAGTTGAGCCAAGGAAGCACAAAGTAAAGAGACAGAAGCATCAATTTCTTCATACTGTACTCATTCTATCCCCCCTCCTCTCTTGCTCACTCTCCTTCTCTCTCTTCATGAAGCCAAACATACCAGGAATAAAAACCACACAAAATCAACTAAACCAAAATTCTTCAAAGCAGACAAGAGCACAAAGCATGGAGGCTGTTCCCTTGCAGCCCTAAAGACCTATATTCTGGCGCTAGTGCTCCCTCTGGCACTTGCTCCTAACGCAAAATGTTGCTTGTATGTCAAAGCGAGACAAAGACAAACAATGGCTCTTAACTCAAAACACTCTTAAGTTGTGATGCTCTTACATTGAGGTTCCACTGTACATTTTTTTCAGCTCTTTATTATTTACAATATTTATATATCACCTTTCTCACCCCTGGGGGGACTCAAAGTGGTTTACTCAGTGTATTTGGGGAAGGGGGATTGGGATAGTTCATTTTGGGGGGGGGGGAGTAATAGCTCATTTGAAGCATTAGCACAGTCCTGATCCTGTTGACATCATACATCTGGACCATATTTATTTTAGATCCAGTTTAGTTGCTTGCATTTCCTTGGCTATTTTTGTTTTGTTTTAGCAAACCTATCCTTCTCTCAATCCTTTCCCAAGACTCACCTTTCCCCCTTAGCATCAATAACATCTGCTACAATTATCATATCATTTTCTTGGAGCTCCCGTAGCCATCAAGAGTTGCCTTTCCTCAATCTACAGAGGTTAACAAGACCTAGCTATCTAGCTAACTCACAAGTTAACTCATCCATCTGTCTAGGCATCTATCTAAACCCTTGATGAGGACTAAAACCTTGTGCAGAATGTGGTTGAGTTCTAATACTTCTGAGGTCTAAAAAAATACATAGTCCCAATGCATTGGTATCAATAATAGTGGGATTCAACGTAGAGCATAAATATCCTTTTGGAGATCAACTCCTGGTAGCAGCAATAACATCTCTGTATCCTCCTGCAAACCCATCTACTGTGTAAGAAAAGGATTATTAGCCTGAAATATATCAGATGGTTACAGAGTTTGGGTTTTGTTGGAGACATTTTTTAAAAGTGAGGAAAACAAGACTTAAATCTACTGCTCTCTGCATATGAAAATGGTAAGCTGTGTAGCCAGTGAAGTAGATAATGCTCACTGCTATATTTATAGTTTCCATCATGAAATATGTTATGCGCATTGGCTTCTCATAAGAAACATTATTCCAGTTTTCTTACTTGATGTCACATAAATAAGTGCTTACCCCAAGTGAAGTTAAAACACCAGAAAATTTCTTTGATAGAGAGGAGACTTCATTACACATTGTATGGGTTAAACTGTTGAAGAAAAAAAACACGGGACAATGATCAATGCCTTCTCATACACACATACGTGCATTTACATATACTTAACTGTACATTTGCCTATTCTCAAACATTTTGGTGTATATTTCACTAAATGTATATAGATAAGTAGCAAGTAACTGCTACTGATTTAATTAGAGCTCACAACAATTGGCATCTTCATGAGGGTATTACATATTAGCAAAGTTTTGTCAAGAAATCGTTAGCCACATATTTATTGTCATTAAATAATAATGATAAGGGAAAATGAAAATAACGTCTGCAACAGGAAGGAAAAGGCTATACTGGGTACAACTCATGCAACAAGCAAATGTGCATTGTGTCGAAAAGATGCCAGGTTTTATTCCTGCCATCTCCAGTTGTGAAGGTCTCATCAGAAAACCTGAAAAGGCACAAGACAACACTATAGACACACAGTCTTGCTCAGTATAAATAAGACAATGTATCTCCTTCTATGATCCACCTCAGAGGCGAAGATTGTTGGGGGAGGTCCTGCTCTCGGTCCCACCTCCTTCCCAGGTGAGGTTGGTGGGGATGAGAGACAGGGCCTTCTCAGTGGTGGCCCCTCGTCTATGGAACTCCGCAATGAAATTAAATCACCCCTCCCTCCTGACCTTCAGGAAAAAAACAAAAAAATTAGCTTTGGGACCAAGCTTTTAGTCACTAAATTAGAGCTGTACAGTAAGAGATTACAAATAACATAATTGACGACTTGGAACAGCCCTGGAATATGACTTGGATTGTGAGATTTTAATTGATTATTTAATGTTGATGTTTCAATTGTTTTGTATTTTAATGCATTTGTTTATTTATTGATATGTATATGTGTGGCACTGAATTGGTTACCTTTGTAAAGCCACTTTGAGCCCCCTTCGAAGTGAGAAGGGCAGGGTACAAGTATGGTAAATAAACTTCCCTTGTTCCTATTTTTTTAAAGAAGGATGAGAATTTGTCTAAGAGGAAATGGAATGTCTTTCTAAGACAATTTCAACATTTCCCAGGATATAAACTGTAGCAAATCTGTAGTGTACATAGGGCCTGAAATTTGGGTTACATGGTTCAGTGACTAGGCTTAAGATCTTAAGATCTTAAGATGGGAGGAGTCAACGTCTGCACTAGTGTGCAATGTTAGACAATATTTTCTATTCTTATTTGTGGTTTTTCACTTCCACAGGATCCTGTGCCCTCAACTCCAGCAAATATGAAGGGCCGACTGTACACACACATTAAAAGAATGAGGACAAAAAAAAATATTCACCTTGTTAAAACTTTTGCTTGATCCAAGGCAGGCTTTTCAACTTCTTGTCCATGAAGAATTAATTCTGCTAATTTATGAAGCTGTTCGATGCAACGGGCCGTTACCTCAGCAAGGCTTTCAATAGACAGCATGTATATTTCCTGGAAAGAAATACTTAAGACTCAGCACTACAGTTTATTACAGTTGATATGAATTGTAAGAGAAGCAATATACTGATACTGTAATATCATTGTAAATGTCCTGCAAATATAATTTATTACACATCTCGAAATAAGAACATTCTGTTTTAATAATTAAAAAGCCATCCTTCCAGCACATTGTAATAAAATATATTTTAGCCTATAGGTAATGGTAAGAAATCCTTCTTCTTCTTATTAGTACATTTATGATTTATACCCTTCTTATGATCTGAAAATGGCCTACACAACATTAGAACCTGAAGTGAGATTTAAATAGCATTATTTAACCCAAAATTACAGAAATTTCTCCTTAAATGTAAACAACTTCATTTTTTTCAACATAAAGTCTTGATTTAAGACAGAAAATGCAATCATTGGTGGACCCAAGCTTGATATTTTTAAGAGATATGTTTTTAGAAATTTCCAAACATATAAGGGCTAAGGATGTTTAAAAAAATCTTTTGAGAAGATTGACATACTCAAAAGGCCATCTTCAGCATTGGTCATTGGTACCATAATAAAATCTGGGAAGAGAAATGCTGTCTATAGTTCGTAACCTTAGTCTGGGAGTCACAATTTATTTATTCATTTGCTAAATGTGTACAGTGCTGGGATCCCCTCCCTCCCAGTATATAATAGATAAGAATTTGATATATTAGAAACACAAATACACAATCATTGAAACATGTTTTAACAAGCTTGCATCTGCAATGCTAAAAATGTTCACATCTAAAAAGGCAAAGGTTTCCCCTTGACATTAAGTCTAGTCGAGTCCGACTCTGGGGTGTGGTGGTCATCTCCATTTCTAAGCCGAAGAGCCAGTGTTGTCCGTGACCAGCATGACTGTATGGAGTGCCGTTACCTTCCCGCCAAAACAGCACCTATTGATCTACTCATATTTGCATGTTTTCGAACTGCTAGGTTGGCAGAAGCTGGGGCTAACAGTAGGAGCTCACCCCATCCCACGGATTCAAACCACTGACCTTCAAGTTCTGCAGCTTAGTGGTTTACCCCGCTGCACCACTGTCGCCCCATATTTAAATCCATTTCTAAATTCAACAAACCCTTCCAATACATAATCACAATAAACACTATGAAAACAATGATTTACAACATCTTTGACACTTTTACTCTTCAACAGTCTTACAAAATAAATGCATATTTCCTGGGCATTCAAAAGAGAACAGTATTGAAACCATATAAATTTCCCAAACTGCCAGCTCCAGAGGTTCTGAGGCTGCAGTCCTTGAAATATTGGTGGTGCAAGGCTTTATAGGTGAACACCACACAGTTTGGGTCTGGAAGCAAACCAAAAATCAGCACAGCTGAACTGGGAACAGAGAAATGTCTTGTTTCAGTTTATAACCTGCCCGCTGTATTTTCCACTATTTACAGTTTCTGAATCATCTTCAAGGATAGCCCAGTGTACAATGTATTGCAGAAATGTCACTTAGAGGTTTCCAAAGCAACCATTGCCATCGAGACATCCTCTGTTGCTAGAGAAGGATCCAAGAGAAGTCCGGGGCTGTGCATCTGATCTTTCCAGGGAAGTACAACCTCACTGGGAAAAAATGGTGCATTCTCTCTACCTAGAACGGTGGTTCTCAACCTGTGGGTCCCCAGATATTTTGGCCTTCAACTCCCAGAAATCCTAACAGCTGGTAAACTGACTGGGATTTTTGTAAGTTGTAGGCCCAAACACCTAGGGACCCACAGGTTGGGAACCACTGACCTAGAAGGACTAGCTATTAGCAAATGGTGATGAAGTGGATAATGGAACCCTGGTCCTCCAGATGTTTGGGACTTCAGTTACAATATATAATAAAATTTGATTTTTTTCTGTTCCTAATATAGTGTTATTTCCTGTTTAATTGTGTGGTGCTTTCTTAGTTTGAAAGTAGTTGTCATACTCCAGAAACTTTGTTTTTGTGGCTGCCACAAACTATTCTTTGAAAAACTATAGCAAAATGTGCTACAGGATGCTGAAGGATAACAATCTTCTTCCATGTTTTTATGTGTTGGAGTTCAGCCTGTGATTGTGTTTCAGGATCAGGGTGTTTTGGATGTGGGAAATGATGTAAATGAGGTTCAAGATGGCAATGGTTTGGTCAGTGATATTGATGCAGAGAATGACAGAGAGCGACACCTGTTCAAAATGTAGTTTATTTATTTATTTATTTATTTATTTGATGCATTTATTAACCGCCATTCTCAGCCCCATGAGAATGTTCCTACAGGGTATAGGGATGATGGTTTACTCCCTGAATTGCTCCCAGAGGGTTTCCAGGATTTGGGACTTGAAAACAACTCGGCACCTGCGGAGACTAAAGAGCATATAGATAGTCGGGCGGAAATTGGCCAAACAGACAGGCCGAACAAGGCTTTCGGCATTCTGCCAGGCTTCAACACAAAAAGATAAGGGTGGCTAAAGGAAAACCAGTTTCTGAGTGCTTGGAAAGGCTTAAAAGTTCCAAGCATGGAAAATATTGCCAGATGAAGCATCGTTTAGAATCCTGCTAAGTTCTTGTCCTCGTCTCATAGAAGCCTTGCTTGGAAGATTCATGCTTAAAGATTTCTTGTTTACTGTTTAATTTTTTGTCTCTTGTGATTACCTGCTCATGCCTTGGATCAACGTTTCCTGGTTCTTTGGATTTTGTTAGAGACTTGTTGACTTTGCTTTTGGACATTGCTGAACTCTACCTTGGACTAATTTGTTCTTGCTTATCTTTTTACTTAATTAGATTTATATATCCCTTTGAAGTGCTTTTTTTACTTTGCTGCTTTTACTTATCTTCAATAAAAGGATGGTTTTCCCTACTCAATGTGTGGTGTTTTAAAGTCGAAGAGTTATTCCTGTTCTGGAGTGCAACATTATGATAGAATCAATTAGGAAAGATATTTAGAACCCAGGAACAAAAATCATGTCACATAGTGTTACCAGAAACCCCAATCATTGCAGCCAATGGTAAGGGATCGTGGGAGCTGCAACCTAAAACATCTGAAGGGCCAATATTTTTCCAACTCTGATGAAGATGTTAATGAGTACAAGGAGTAAGACCCTAGGAAACCACATACTAGTCCCACAGGACCAAAACCCAACTTCCTCTATCTTGAAATAGTACCAACAGGACTCCTAACTCAGCTATTTGAGAAGAATGCTATGACTGACTGTGCTGAGTGTTGTGAGGAGCCCAGGAAGTATAGACAGGACCTGCCACATTTCTCTCCTGATAAAGGGTGATCAAGGCAGGCCCAGCACCAAAGACAGGCAACCCAATGAGTGCCTGGATCTGGTTAATGATCATCCAGTCAAACAGAAATCTGCTCATCTCTGACCTCTAGATTTTTCTTCTTCATTTCTTCTTTATTTCCAGGTTCTTCTATGTGAGACTCTTCTTCAGCTTGTTGTTTTTCTTCATTTTCTCCTATTTTTTCTGCTTGGTACTCTTCTGGTTCTATTGATGCAGGGAGACTAGCTTTCTCCAAGCTGTCATATGCTTTCTTTCTAGCCTATGAGACAATCCCCATGAAAGACAACACAAGGTTAGCATTCTGACATGGAGGCCCATACAGACTTCCTATATGTTATACACATCTACAGTCCTGCATAAAGAAGCTGCCTATTATTTTCACTGTCCCAGGTAAGAAGAACTATAGTAATGCTATTGTACACAGAACAGTGCTAGTATTTTCCTCTCAATTAGCTCCATTTTTTGTTGTGTCTTTCATTTACAGCACTCATTATGATATGAATAATTGTCATACAGTATTTCGGCTGTTTTGGAGCACAAAAATTCCACCATGCAACAAAATTTGAAACATTTTATGTTCCTGGTTTGAAAGTGTTATTTCCTGTTTAATTGTGTGGTACATACTTTGAAAGTACATTAGAGTCTCACTTATCCAACATAAATGGGCCAGCAGAATGCTGGATAAGGGAAAATGTTGGATAATAAGGAGGGATTAAGGAGAAACCTATTAAACATCAAATTACATTATGATTTTACAAATGAAACACCAAAACATCATGTTTTACAACAAATCGACAGAAAAAGCAGTTCAATACACAGTAACGTTATGTAGTAATTACTGTATTTATGAATTTAGCACCAAAATATCGCAATGTATTGACAGCAGTGGATCCAGGCAAGAGGCAGACTACGTTGGATAATACAGAAGGTTGGACAAGCGAAGATTGAATAAGTGAGACTCTACTGTAGTTGTTACACTCCAGAAACTTTTGTTTTTGTGGCTGCCATTTTTAATCTTTCTTTCTTTTTTTAAAATATAATTTTTATTGAAAATTTTTTGCAAAATACAATTAGATAAAATAAGGGGGAGGGGAGGTGGATCCACCATTTTTAATCTTTCAATGTGCCATTTTTAACCTTACATAGGCCATTTTAACCTTTTGTGCAGACCACAAAAACTAAGTTTTTGCATTTTAATAAACTTTTTTGATGTTTTTGTGATAGTCAATAATGTCAATTAGGAAATGACAAGAATGTCAATTAGGAAATGACATTTATAATCCTGGAACAAAATTGTGTTGCATAGTGTTATCAATAGACATCATAGGTAAGGGTAAAGGTAAAGGTTTCCCCTTGACATTATGTCTAGTCGTGTCCAACTCTGGGGGGTGGTGCTCATCTCCACTTTTAAGCCAAAGAGCCAGTATTGTCTGTAAACACCTCCAAGGTCATGTGGTCAGCATGACTGCATGGAGCACCATTACCTTCCTGCCAAAGCAGTACCTATTGATCTACTCACATTTGCATGTTTTTGAATTGCTAGGGGCTAGCAACTGAGCTCACCCCGTCATGCGGATTTGAACCGCTGATCTTCCAATCAGCAAGTTCTGCAGCTTAGCAGTTTAACCTGCTGAGCCACCGCTGTCCCCAATAGACATCATAGAGAAGAAATATTCCATAAAGAATAGTAAAGGTAAAGGTTGTCCCCTGACATTAAGTCCAGTCATGTCTAATTCTGGGGTGTGGTGCTCATCTCCATTTCTAAGCCGAAGAGCCAGCGTTGTCCATAGACATCTCCAAGGTCATGTGGCCAGCATGACCGCATGGAGCGCCGTTACCTTCCCGCCGGAGCGGTACCTATTGATCTACTCACATTTGCATGTTTTCGAACTGCTAGGTTGGCAGAAGCTAGGGCTGACAGCGGAAGCTCACTCCGCTCCCTGGAATCGAACTTGTGACCTTTTGGTCAACAAGCTCAGCAGCTCAGTGCTTTAACCCACTGCGCCACTGGGGGGCCCCCCATAAAGAATAGAATATTAAAAATACAATTAAGATAATACATTTTTCTGGATATGCATAATAAACTGACATGTTAGAGTGTGGAGGTCTAACTCCATTTTCCAATCTGGCCTGGCTATTTTTCACCACATCTCTCTCTGTTTACAGATATTGTTTAACCACAGTTGCATTCATTACCCTTGTTGTCTGCTATGACTTTTCAAACACTCTGATCTCAGTTGCTAGAAAAGGTTATCTGCTAATCTGCTAATCTAGATGAGAAGGAAAAAAAACGTGATTTCCTAGGTAAATTAGTAAACAAAGCCACTCACTTTGTTAAGCTTGTCAGGAGCTGCAGCAACATGTAGTTCAAACAGCAGTTCGGTAAAAATGGTCACAAATTCATCTCCCATATCTGCTGCAAAAGAAAGTGAAAAAAATGAAGAGAAAAGTGTCTCTTGAAACTTTTGACTGCATCTCCCATTCCTAAAAGACACAAATCGTAATTATTTATGTACTTTTGGATGCTTCATTCCCTTTCCTGTTTCTATCAAATGAGTAAGATTCCCTGTTACACATCTCCAGTTGTTTAGCTATTCTTTATTAGATAACAGTTGCCATTTTTCACTTCAAAGCAATTTCAGATCTTGCTATAATTAACAGATTTGGCAACTCTTTTCTGTTTTCTATTTGTCCCCAAGTCAGATATGAAGATGAGGGGCTGGCATCATGTTGGTTAATCTCATCTAGAGTTGACTAATAATTTAATGAATGACGAGTCAACACACAAATAATCTAATGAATGCACTCTACATTCATTAGGGTTAAGGGCACAGGATTCCTATAGAAATAAAGACCTTCTCTAGAGTTTCCTAGAGAAGTATTCTCCATTTTTATTTTATACCTGGAGAATACTTCTCTAAAAAACTCTAGGTCCTCCAGTGCGAATCTGTGATATTATTATTTATTATTATTATTTATTATTTGGGACATTTCTACATTGCTCTTCTCCAGTGACTCACGGCGGTTTACAACCATTGTTAAAACATAGCAATATAAAGTAACCCATTAAAATAATTCCAAGTTGGTCCACCTCGAACGTAAAATTATCGAAATGGATTAAATGGATGGATGGCATGATTTTTAATAGTGATTGCAATGTTTTATATGTTTTAAAGTGCATTTTAATTTTTAAATCTTTAACTTAATGTATTTTAACTCTTTGTTGTTCAAAGGCATAGAACAGTTGCCATAAGTAAATCCGCTAATTAAACAGTCTACAATACCCAGGGAGGTAAAATGTGATTATAATGTGCAGGTTCCTTGACTTCTGACACCATTAGTTAAAAGATATTTCACACAGGAAAGTTTACAAGTTTTTCCTAAAGGCCAAGAGGGTGAGGGCTGCTCTTATCACTTCTGGTAAAGCATTCCAAAGTTTTGGTGCTGCATTCAAGAATGTTCCATCTCTAGCCAATTTTAAGTGACGGCTGTCCATGAGATGAGTGGAGAAGAGTGTTACATTACTCAATCTTAGTAATCTACCAGACCTGTATGGTAGGACACGATGTCTCAGTGAATGAATGAATGAATGAATGGTTTATTGTACCAGCCATAGGCCACAACATCAAATAATATACAACTTTTGATGTATATTAAATATTAAAACTTATTCCATATACTGGCTCTTTGAAATTATAGTAGCAGTGACTTGATAACAATAACAAATGTCTGATTTGTATCATCCCCAAACTATCTCCATTTCCATTTCTAGCATCCACTGTGGATTTTACTAATTTAGCTCAGATTTTTGGTCTGTGACTGCAAACGTGGCAATATTTAATATTTTTTATTTGGAATAATCTGCTAACAAGTAACAGATAACTGTTGACTGTTGCCATGCTGCCCTTTATTCCAAAACGGTGTATTAAATCCTCTCTTTCCCCACATCCACAAATACAAAGTCATTGGGTGTATTAGTGGTTCCCAATCTTTATTTGATCAGGGCCCACTTGACCACACCCCACTTTGACCAGGGCCCACTTGAATGGGGAACACTTTCACCTGGGACGAATTTCACCAAGGGACCACTTGACCAGGGACCAGTTTGATCAGGACCCACTTTGAGCAGGGATCATTTGAACAGGGACCATGACCAGGACCCACTTTGACCAGGGCCCACTTGAATGGGGACCACTTTGGCCAGGGCCTACTTTGGCCAGGGCCCACTTGACCAGGGACCACTTTCACCAGGGATCATTTGACCAGGGCCCACTTTGACCAAGGTCCACTTGAATGGGGCCCACTTGACCAGGGACCACTTTGACCAGGGTCCACTTGAACAGGGAACACTTGACCAGGGACCAGTCTCCAAGATTAGTACCAAAGGGAGCAGGGCTGGTTAGCCTGCGGAAAGGAGTGGAAATAAAATAAATAAAACAAATAAATAATGAGGAAGGAGGTTCGCAGACCAGATTTTCGTTCTTGTGGCCCACTGCTGGGCTGCTGCCCACAGGCTGAAAACCACTGCTCTATATCTTTGCTCTAGCCAGCATGATGGCATTGGTTGGAAGCACAGGGCTGTAAATGCTTTTCTAAGGGTAGGTAGGACACAAAGTTTCAAGTATCCTGGACCGAGACCATGTAGGGCTTTATAGGTTAAAACCAGCACCTTAAATTGAGAGATTATTTAAGGATTAAGTTACTCAGAACAAACAGAAATCAACCAATGCACTAGTTTGAATTAAACATGGAGGTCTCTCAATATTCTTTGTATAATGGTAATTGTGAAACTACCTGTCATCACTTCAGTGTCTTCACTGTCTGATTCCTGTTGAACGAAGATCGTCTTAATAGCAATTAGAGCATTTTTTATCGTTTCCAATTCTTCTCCTTCAAGTGAGGACAAATATGACTGTATCTGAAACAAGAAGCAATTACTGAAAGTAACCCAAGATACGGATAGCTGGGACAAAGCATTTCAATTTAGCTCTAGCACATCATGTGTGAAATAAATGAGGCAAATCTTCTCTCTCCAAGTCTACACTTGTTAAAAATCCTATATTGAGAATTGAATACCATACTATAAGATGTCTAAGTTTGATTTAATATTTTATGTCTTTTTGTTACACATGACTCATTTTCCAAATAGATCACATGGGTCTCCCATTCAGGGTCAGACTTCCTGAACTTTAATAGCAGAGTTATATCACATCCATTATGATCATGATGTAAACCTCTACTGAATAAAAATACTTTAACTGGTGTGGCAATGAACACTTCTCCTCATGTACATCTAAACTGAAAAAGTATTTTGCTATTCAGCCAGCTGCACTGGGTTCATCCAATCCAATACAAATGCACAGGGCTACATCTGTGTAACATCATGTGTCGCACTTTATGGGCAAAGTCACTCCAACTACAGAATTACATATCACTATCAGTCTGCTGTACTTACTTATGGTACTTATTTCAACAACTGGAACAATTTTACATAAGTTCACTCAAAATTAAGTTCTACAAGGAGAAGCGAGTAAGGAAAATAATAATAATAATAATAATAATAATAATAATAATAATAATGTGTTTTGTGTCAGTAGAACAACAACAACTATTATTATTATTATTATTATTATTATTATTATTATTATTTCCGTATTCAACAGCACTTACTCCCAAATAAATGTGTAAAGGATTCTAGTTGCAGACTACGATTATGTGCCTATCTACATGGACCACATATATTGATGCTGATCAGGAGTGGGATACTCCAAATCTGTGCCACTGGAGTTCACATCCTGCTCCGCAGCAGACAGATGTCCACACTGCAAGGCACTGAGCAGCTTGGACTGCCACCTTTACCTTCCCCCTCTTGTCCTTAGCTTAGTGGCAACCACTGAGCATGTAACAATAGAGTAAAATAATAAATGAAATAAAATTAATAATAATAGAGTAAAATAATGTAAATGTAATAATAACTATAACAATAAAGTAAAATAAAAAATGTAATAATAATAAATAGAGTGAAATAATACATGTAATAAAATAATACAATAAAATAATGTAAATGTAATAATAACAATAATAAATAGAGAAAATAAAAAATGTAATAACAATAATAACAGAGTAAAATAATACATAACTTTGTCTCAAGTATAAGCTGAGGGGGCCTTTTTCAGCCTTAAAAAAACAGCTGAAAAATTGGGCTTATACTCAAGCATATAGGGTACTTCAAACCTATATCTAACTGGATTGACAAGTTATATAGCTGTTTTCTGAATACATGAAAGTTGTGAGTAAACCAAATATGTTACCTTTAATGAAGTCTACTCTTGAGAGCATGATAAACAGGCTGTGTTTTTTATTTAATTTTAGTTTGTAAAGTTCTAATTCATATTTATATGTTGGGTTGTACCAATTTTGTTAGTATGGATGTATTGTTGTATTTGGGCATTGAATGTTTGTCTTTTATGTTTGGAATCCGCCCTGCGTCCGTTTGGGGAGATAGAGCAGAATATAAAGTTGTTGCTGTTGTTATTGTTGTTCTTATAAAGAAACAAGATGTTTTATGGGAGAATAGCTGTTCTTGGGCACTGAAAAAAACACTTCTGAAGAACTATATTTTGTGCATTGGCGTAATCTCTGTTCCTAACAAATCAGAGACAACCAGGTTATCCATCTAAAACTGAAAAACTGAAAAAATTGTCTTGCATAAATACATGTGGATATATACCACTAAATAGAAGATTTTACTCAAACAAGGTTTTTTTTTTTTTTGCTCTTTTCTGGGAGAGCATACTTTTACAAAAGGTTATTTTCAATCGGTGTGAATGCCGTTTTTATGGGGATTCTGGTTTTCCAGAAGTGCATCATGTGGCCTGTGCAGATGGACCCTAAGCTGATGATTAAATTCCATTAATACAACTATGCAGGACTTTCTATTTTATTTAATCATCCTACATTTAGTTATTTCCAGAGGGAGAAAGAGAGAAAAAAGAGAGAAGCAAACAGACAAACACACAAACATATATTGGTTGAAAGGCACACTGTCTGATACATCCAAGCTCTTGTGCTTGCAGTGAAGGAGGAAAACAATTTACAAGTTCAAGATAGCAGAAGAGAAATACAATTTCTTTTCGAGAAGTGAACTTAGAAAAACGACTTGTAGTGCAATTTGGTTTTTATTTTCCTGGAAGTAATCCCAACTGGGTTCAAATGTACCTATACTGACACCTTATATGTAAGTTTTGCCGATTTCAGTGAAGTTTACTTCAGGGTAAGTGAGTACAGGATTGTTATTTCCACGCTTTATTTTATGGCTGAGTGTTCTGAGTGACTACTGACTGCTTTGATTAACAAACCCACTGAGATGAGAGCTAACTGTCATATGAACCTTTTTAATCCAAAAATATCTTATAGAGTGAAATCCAAAACTGTACAAGACCTACACATGACAAAGAATAATTGGATGATGGAGAAGGAGTATGCATTTCATGGGATGAAGAAGGGAAAAAACTGGGGCGTTAAAGGGTGATTATGAAAATGGGACGAGCTTAGCTGATTTAATATGTATTTATGCAGGAAACAATGAAAACCTGTTTTGAATATTCTTTTTAAAGCACGTCATGGAATCAATGAGCACACTATTTTGAAAAAGAGAGACAACCAGGGAATTTATTTTCCTGGAGTGACCCTAGACACTGTGAACAAAAGATGATAGGAAAAAAATCACATATTGTAAGCAACTGAGTCAACAGGTTAAGATAAAATATAAATTCAAATAGTCAAATAAATAAAGGCAAAGGCTTATGCCTGCTGAGGCAAAGGACTTTCTTAGAGGTAGGGTTTCAATCTTTCTGGGAGCTATTCTTGAGAAATGTATCCCATACTAAGACTTCTTGTTATCTTGATTTATGCAGTCCATTTACTGTACCTTGGCTTCACTTTCATTAGATAGAATTTCCAGAGCTTCCAGATGAGACAGACCCTGAAACTCATCAAAAAGCAGCCCATAATGTGCCGTCTTTTCAAATGACACTTGCTGCGCCAGCCTCTGCTTCTCTTTCTCTTTGGCTTCTCGCAACAGCTGTGGGAATATAGATCATTGCTACAGGTTTATTGGTTGCGTGGCAGATTTGACACGGTTTATTACCTTCCGACTCAGCTCCTCTTCTAGGCAATAATAGTAAAATTTGGGGTTACATCAAACCAGCAGAGGTGAAGTATTTCATAATTCTATTACAATGAATCTAGTAAAAGATGTTAGGCAAGATTCTCTATGTAGATTTTCCAATTAGTGGTATTTGGGCTGTTGTTGTGTCGTCAATTTGCCTCTTGAATTATGGTGGCAACATAATTTCATAGGAAGGAAAAGTCAAAGTAGTTTTTGCCTTAATCAAAAATATATGCTATAGCACCCGGTATTCATTGATGCTCTACCATCCAAGTATTAGGGCTTGCCCTGCTTTGCTTCCAAGTTGAGATGGGATTGGTTGCCTTTAGGGCAGTGGTTCTCAACCTTGTTTTGACCAGGGATCATTTTGCCCAGGGAGCACTCACCAACATTAGTACCAGAAGAGTTACAAATCAGTTTTTGGTCAACTTTAGATTCAGTTTGGTTATTTTGGGTGCTGATTCAGAACATTCCATTGGACAGACCACATCAGATCTAGTTTCTGATACAGAATATATGCCATCCAGTAGTCGCCATCGGCTAACCCACAGAAAACCATATTTAATAATCTAGAACTGATATGGTAGTAATAATCTTTTGTGGGTAGTCAGCCTCTCCCCTCCCAACATCCCAGTTGCATTGGCACTATAAGAGGGTCTCGCAAGACCCTCTTGTTGCCCCATGGTTTCGAGGCAATGGTGTAGTTATGGTGAGGCCATGGACCATATTTTTGTTCTTGTGGACCACTGGTGGTCCATGGACCACAGATTGGAAACCACTGCTTTAGGGCATTTGAGCCAGTTGTTCAAGCTAAGCAGTTTCTTTTATATATGTATACACACACACATACATGTTTATGATATTATTCTACCTGTGTCGGCAATAAAAACATATAGAAACAAGGAAAGCTAAGTGGTTTCAAATGTAACACCAAGCATAAACAATAGTCCAAGTGAAAATGCCACCTGTGAAATTAGAAATAAAAGGCTTTATTTTTGTACATTGGTCATTATTATCAGAAGAAGGATGTGCCCTTTGCTTCTTTCATTAATTCCAATAGAGATCATACAGGAGAAGGTCTTGACAGAAATATATAATAGGGGTGTGCATAATATCATTTTGGTGTAATGTATTTGGGTGATTCGGCTGCCAAATCCATGAAAACGAGTCTGGCAGCTTTAGCTTTAGCCTATACCAGTGATGGGCAACCTTTTGAGCTTGGTGTGTCAACATTTGCCAAAAAACCTGAGCATAACTTGAGTGGGGGTGTCACTTTGAGAAAAAAACCCATAATTTTGGTATATATATAGTTTAAATAAGAAAAATGTATAATCCATGTTGAGTTATGGAGTGAACAATGCTCAAACGTGCCGGTGTTAAATTTGTAGAGCCTTTTACAAATGTAAGGATGGAATTAGATTGATTCTTATAAAGTGCACTTCCTTGTATCCGGCTGCATGTGTCTGCGTGTCATCAAAAATAGCCATGTGTGTCAGTGCTGACACACATGTCATAGGTTCACCATCACGGGCCTATACGGATCGCAGCAGCTAATGAGACTGAGCGGCACTCTACCTGAGGTGGAAGCAGCAGCATGTGGGCAAACTGCAGCTTCTCCTATTCTTTTTTTTCTGGCAGCCTCCTCCATCTCTTCCTGAAGCCACCCCGCCCCCAGTGCCCACTTGAGGCAAATGGGAACTCACTTTCCCAGCAGCACTTTGTGCGGTGTGGGTATTGAAGGAGCCTCTGTGCTCCCTCCTGGGGCATGATGGGAGTTGAGGTTTCTATCTCTATCTGTGTTTCTCACTTTCTTTCTCAGGCAATCAGAGACCTGGCTGACTGTGTCTATTCTCCTCCCCTCTTGTGGCATGTGCTTGGGACTTCATTTCCCAGAACCCCCTCTTGTGTGTTTTTTAAAAATGTTATGGCAAAAACTTTAAAATTTTCTCAAAAAATACTGGATTGGTGAGACATTCTGAATCTTGGCAAGTTTGCAGTCATAAATGTGGCCTACAACTAAGGTGAGTTTTCCCATTAGCACCAATGGACTGAATATTACCGGAATGAAAACAGAACCCCCCCTCCTGATTTTGGGAAGTTCCTGCTAAGCAGAATGGGGGGGGGGATGGGACCAAAACCGGCATGGGTTTTTGCTGAGTCGCACAAACCTATTATATAAACACTTTAAATACATAATACTGGCCAACACACATCTTGGTGCCTCAAATGTTAGACCTGTTTCTGGGTATATCTGACCTGCCGATTATAACTGTGGCTCCACTTTCCTCTAGTTTTTGAGATATAGAACATATGCCATCTACCAGTTGCTATCTGCTCACCCACAGAAAATCATGGTAACCATATCTAAGAAACTACAGTTGACGCGGTCTATCCAACGAAGTTTTCTGAATCAATGCCACAAAGAACCCCAGGAACAGCCTAAAAACCAAGACACCAAGATTTCTTGTGGTGGGTGGGTGGTGTAATGAAAAAATGCTGTATGTACTTAAGGAATTTGGTGGACAGACTACATGTTGCCATTTTGTCCATACCAATTCTGGACATCCCCAGAGACAAGATGTGTTGAACATAGTTTACTTCTATGTGGCACCTCATCTTCAAAATGAAAAGTCAAGTCACAGAATTAACTTACACAAAGACCAAGAAATACAATTAGAAAATCTAGTGTGGATAAGTAATTATCAATTTTTACTGATGATTAAACATAAAATGTACTCATGAGGCTGTTCAAAACTCTGAAAGCTCTGGAAAATTATCATCATAGTCAGCAATGCAGACCTGTTATATTACTTCCAACATTTTTGATTATCATATTATCAGAATTAGCTATTTTTACCTGAGATAAAGAAACTGTTCGCTCCATCAGTATTTTTGTTTTCTTAAATCCAGGATCATTTTCTGCAAGGACATTCATGGTTTTCTTGCCAATGAACTCCAAAGCACCAAGGCCACCAGTTAAGACACTTTTGCCCTGGGCAATTCAGAGAACAATGTTATTATGAATGTACATCACAAAGCTAAATACACTGAATTGTAAGAAAATCACATCAGTTTTAATAGTCCTTGGATGGAAACAATTTGATTTGGATTCCAGGTGTTCTTGATTTTTTGTATAACTCCGAATAAGACTTATGTAAGACTTATGGCTCACTCATCAGCTCAAATACAGATTCTGTTGGAAATAGCAACCTTCTCAAGCCTCTTCTAGTAGTTTGTTGTTATATATATATATATATATATATATATATATATATATATATATATATATATATGCTTATTATATTGTATATATATTAGGGCGAGGCTACCTTTGTTGTGGGGGGGGGGGCTGCAGACCATGTGATCAGAACTGGGCTTGTTCAGAACTCAGACTCTATTTTAGAAACAATACAGTTTAGACTTCAGTAGAAACAGTATGCTTAGAGACTCCATTGGACTTTCAAACTAGAAACAGAAACTCTATTAGACTCTCAAAACAGAGAGATGCTTTTGATTATGGACTATTGATTCTAAGAATGATGCCCTGTGTTAGGTAAAGGTTGTCCCCTGACATTAAGTCTAGTCATGTCTGACTCTGGGGTGTGGTGCTCATCTCCATTTCTAAGCCGAAGAGCCGGCGGTGTCCACAGACACCTTCAAGGTGACTGCATGGAGCACCCTGTGTTACCTACACAGAAAAACTACTTCAAATCCTATTTGTAACTGGATTGATATGCAAAGTACATGTATGCTGAATACATGAAGTTTGTGAGTAAACCAACAATGTTACTTTTAAAGAAGTCTGCTTATTTTTGTCAAATATGTTTTGAGAGAGAGTAGATTTTTTTAGGCAACTAAAAGGCACACTTCTGAAGTTCTGATATATATATCAGAACTTATATGGCATATCTTTGTCCCTAGCAGTTCAAAGACATATTTAGGATATCAGTTGAATAGCTGAGAAACCTAGTTGCCTTGCATGAATGCTGGTGAATGACATTTTCCCAAATGGTTATGACTCTAACAGGTCATGCTTTTTACCAAGAGGTTATGGCATCATTTTTCAAAAGGTTGACTTCTAACAAGATCATGCCTTAATAAAGATCACAAAATATCCAAATAGTTCTAGAGATTTCCATTTTTCCAAAAGATTATTGGCAAAATAATTAATAAGTTAGTGAAAAGGAAATACATCAATTGAAAGGGACAAAAGCAAAAACAAGACAGTGTCAACAACACAAATATACAATTTTCTTAGTATTTTGTATTAAGCCAGGTATTTTTCAACCTGGGGTTCCCTTTGAATTTTTTGGCAATATATTCAGCAATTGAGGTTAATCTTCTCAAACAGTGTGAATTAATATTCCTTCCAAAGCACAAGTGAACAGTGGTTATCTAAGAAAGCAGCTTAGTTAGCGTGAGGCACCCATTACACTTGTAAAAACATTTATTGTAAACTGAAGGTACATCCCAGAACACCCACATCTCTACAAACTTTGCGTAAAATGCAGAACTTCTACTGCAAATGTGGTGGCATTTCTCAGCAGGATACTGAAAAGATACAATTCTTAGGGGATAAATTTGGGACTAAATACTGTATATACTACTATGTTTTCTTCTTTTGTTAAATCACAGCAGATGGCAAAAAGTAAGCAAAACAAAAACAACAAGCAGCAAATAAGCCATAATATTCCAAGGAATGTACACAGCTAGGTCTGTGGATGCGCTCTTTGATTTTAGTTTACTGCATTGCACCAAGAAGATGGACTGCTCACACACAACTGTCCTTTTTTGCAGGAATCCTATAGGCACGCAGGGAGTGTGTGCAATAACCCATTTTGCTGCCCTAAGGATCTGGACATGGTCACGCCACAGTCTTGCCACCATGCAGTAAATCTGAATTATTCACAAATGTTGACAGCGTGTCTTGCTGTCAATATGGTTTGGGAGTTTATGAATCCCTGTATGTGCCTGGAGCATTTCAACACATCATCTATCACAACAAAGCTGTAGCATCTGCTACTCGGGATGAGAAGCTGCGGTCCAGCTGCTTTCAGCTTTTGATACAAAAGTCCAAAACTGTCTACAAGGCAAGTGGAGGCAGTTTGATATGTCCTGCAAAGAAAAAAAAATGACTTCTCCATATACTGGTGATAATTATTCTGGAATATATTTTCTAAATGATGACTGCATTGCTTTTGCCCGTTAGCAGATAAAGCACTTCATACTTTTCAACTGTGTTTGCATTTATTTATTTATTTGCTTTCTTTTCTTTTATGTGTATTCCTTGCTTTTTCTGGACTGCCCTTCATCAATGCTATTTTTTGTCACAGAAATTGCTTACCGTATTCTGTACAGCGCTAGAAATAGTTGAAAACATTCCGCGTGACCCAGAAGGAGATGAGGGTGAAGCTGCATCTTCTTGGGAGTTTTGTGGCAGGGTCTCTTCCGTGTCTGAAAGGAAAAAAAGAACCCCAAAATCCCAGATACAAGTAATGTCAGAGCATGATCACAGATTAAAGATTTGCACTGACACAAGACTAGTCATTTCATGTTTGTATTGACAAGAGATTTTGAAAGAGAATGCCTTGCTTACCACTTGCAACAAGGTTTTCAGGTGTGCTGGGATGTGGGTCTTCTGATGGCCCAGAGGAAGGAACATGAATTCTGAGGGTGGCTGCTTTTTCTTTAACTGCAGTTAATCCATGACCTGCACCAGAACATAAATGGTTTATATGAAACAATTCTGCATACATGAATTATTTTTTTAAAAACCCAAGAAAAACACAGTGTTCACCACTGAGCCAGTAGCAGCAGTGGAAAACCTGCCAAAAGATTTCAGTTCCCTTCCAGCTTCAGTTGATCCTGTTCCCCGTCTGTATTGTAATAATACTGATTTGGATTTTTAGAAATATTACCCTAAGATAACGTATGTGAAGTGCTTTGAACATTCAAACATAGAATGCAAATGTTAAATATTACAATTATGTTGATAATGTGATGAAACCTTATGTATGAGTTGCTGTGAGTTTTCCAGGAAGTATGACCCTGTTCCAGAAGCATTCTCTCCTGGTATTTAGTCCACATCTATGACATCCTTATGAAATCTGTTTGAAACTAGGCAAGAGAGGTTTATATATCTGTGGAATGTCCAAGGTGGGAGAAAGAACTCTTGTTTGTTGGAGGCAAGTATGAATGTTGCAATTGGCCAGCTTGATTAGCATTGAATTACCTTGCAATTGGCTGCTTCCTGCCTGGGGGAATCCTTTGTTGGGAGGTGTTAGCTAGCCCCGATTGTTTCCTGTTTGGAATACCCCTGTTACTTGAGTGCTCCTCTTTATTTACTGATTTTAGAATTTTTTAAATACTAGTAGTCAGATTTTGTTCATTTTCATGGTTTGCTCCTTTCTGTTGAAATTGTCTACATGCTTGTGGATTTCAATGGCTTCTCTGTATAGTCTAACAACATGGTGGTTGTTAGAGTATTTCAGCATTTCTGTGTTCTCAAATAATATGCTGTGTCCAGGTTGGTTCATCAGATGCTCTGCTATGACTGACTTCTCTGTTGACTTCACTCAGGTAGGAAGCCTGCCATAAATGTGGGTGAAACGTCAGGAGAGAATGCTTCTGGAACATGGCTATACAGCCCAGAAAACTCACAGCAACCCAGTAATTCCAGCCATGAAAGCCTTCGACAACACCTTATATATGATTTTTATATATAATCTATAGTTGGTGTTTTGAAACCACTGCAAAAAGACAGTGGCCTAAAATTAACACGTCACATGTCAACGTTAACTAAATAGATTTTCAGACATATATTGATCTATTCAGTAAGATTATGCACTTTTATTTTCAGATTTATATTTCAAGGCATTTGGCATTTTACACATTTATTTTGGTTACTTAATACATAATTATTTCTGTCCACCCAGCTTTTCCTATAGAAGAACCTATATCAGTGGCAGACTCTTTCTGAGCAATTCTATGGACGTACTAGGAACAGAACTGAATAAATACATTGAGAATTGCCTTGTTCCCTTGAACATTGTTATATCTAAATTTAGTTGGATCATCCCCTTTATTGTAATCAGAAAAATGTAGCTAATTTAGTGAAGTTTATATATCAAAAAATAAATAAGCATTTTATGAGAAACTGCCACTGGGCTAAAATAGATGGATATTAGTTTGGCGCAAACTATTTGTATTTTTATGCTTCAGTGATATTCAATTAGAACAAGAAGCGATAAAGTGCATGGAATATGGATGAGAAGAACTTCTCATAGCGCTTCAAGGTTCTGTGATCACAATCTGAAATGCTCATGATTTCAATAATAACTGGCCACCAAAGACTGTAATACCACATAAGATACTGTAAGGTTGGAAGTAGCATGGTTGAGAAAACATGTGCACGGACAAAAGCGTATGAGAGGCATAACAAATGTGGGTTTATCTTTCTGACTGATTGAAAGAATTGTGTTCTCATCCTATGCTTGGCTGCATGCTGGGCAAAACTGGACAGGCAATTGTACTGCATCAGAGTAGAGGGTTACACTGGCATTATGCCACTTCTGTACCGGCAGTGATGCATCATTAACACTACAGCAATGTGAGGCAGTCAAAACTGAGTGGATTGGAAAATGTCACCAGAAAAAGTAGAGTTCTGTGCTCAGATATTATGTTCAATTAGAGTTGGCCCACTTTGGCAGCAAAAGAGGTTTCAAGTAATAAAATAAATGGGCTACAATAAAGAATCCCAGATAACTGTGCCATCTTCTGACTATGGCAGAAAACAAGAGCAGCAGCAGGAATTAATAAGCAGCATGGCACGCTGAAGGTTGCAGAGTTTTGGTGTATAGCACAAATTTCCAGATGGCTACTGGTTGTTCTGGGGCTGTCAGAAGTTTTAAATCTCTGTCTGTTTCCAGTGAAAAAGGAAATTCAGAATCACAAGACATGGCAATCTGAATTGAGTTGACATTGTTCTGGGCCTAATTGACATTTAAGTCAATGGGAAGTAAGGGCAGCAATTCTATTTGGCTCAGCATACCATAGTAGTTCTACGTGGGAAACTACATTATGCTGAACCATTTGTTGGAATTCAACCCTACACTGCTCAAGCCTGCAGTCCTCAATGAGAAGCAGATAGATAGCATTAAGCTAGGCTGATAGAATCCCTTCCCTCGTTCCTGAATGTCTGTAGTGAGGCATGTCGCCGGGGGGGGGGGGCTGAGGGACTTCAGCCCCCCCTCCCGAAATTCTCATGGTGATTCACAAAAAGGCCTTACTGGTACATTATTTAAACTGTTATGTTTATTCATATCATGATCTGATCACCATACTCAATATATCCCATATGCATGGGGGTATTGGGGTAATGATACAAAAGGTTTGCTAGGCTAGACCCTCTTTCACTCAGACTCAGCCCCCCCCCCGAAACTCAGCCCCCCTGAAACCCCCCCTGAAAAAAATTCAGCCCCCCCCCTCCCGAAACGAAATCCTGGCTACGGGCCTGTCTGTAGTTGTTCTGTTTTCTCTCTCTGATCTTTTCTCCTCCCATCCCAAATGATGACGTAGAACGGAAGTCTTCAGGTTGTATGTTCCCTTTGTTTTAAGACCTCTTGGTCATGCATTCCTTGATTCACCTTCTTTTCATTCTGATCTCTCTCTAGTCTATGTGCATGGGTGATAGAAGTCTTTAGATATTTTCTTTTGGTGTGAACTTTGGGTGGTTCCAGACAAAAGTAAAGTCTGCGCCGACTAGAGTTGAAAAAACCCAGGTCAGGATGGACTGTAGTCTACACATCAGCTTGGAAAATGCGCGCTATTGGGGCTGGGTGACTAGATGCCCTTCTAGAACCTTTGAGAAGAGAGCAAGAAACTCAGACCCCCCTCTTCAACCCCTCCAATCCTTTAAAAATAAAAGAACTTACCCAGTCGACATTTGTGTGGTACCAGAGTTCTCCTGGCATGTAGGAATGACACGCCAGCTCTGGCAGTAGTATAATGGTGGTCGGATAGGTTCTTTTATTTTTTTAAAGGCTTTTCTGGGGGGGTTTGGGGAGGGAGGTGGGCTCCAGGAGCCAAAGGAACCCAAGACAGCTGCGTAGATGGGCACCAGAAGTCGCACAGAGCGATCCCTAATCACATCTACATAGCCCCAGCATCTGGTAATACATGGGTCTTCTGAAAGACCCGCATCTTTCCACCAGACAAATTACTTCAGCACAAATCAGGGTTTTCCTGCTTTGTGCCAAATGAAGTTGCTTTCCCCTGGAGCGTCATTCGGATGCCCCAGGGAAAACGTAGGAAGGCACGCACTATAGGTGCTGTCTAGATGCGTCCTTTGAAGTAATGGAGTTAGAGAGAAAGCGTAGACCCATCTTTTTAAATCTAGAAACGTAGTTCTTATGTTTTAAGAAAGCTTTTGAAACTTGAACTCTGCATCTCACTTCCTTAACCTCAAGAATTCTTACATCCGCACTATTGCTGCTGCTTTCTGTGAACTGAATGCTCTGTTAAGTATCCTGTTTTTGCATTTTTAAATACTCTGCTCTTATGGGGAATTTCCCTAACACCACTCACCACCTCTGAACCCACCAAAGAGCTACTGAAGCTCCCCTCCTGTGGGTATTCCATATCTGGAAGAAAGCATCTTACTATATCCCCGTAGCTGAGCATGATATGCTTACCTAATTTTGCTGAGGTTCACTGGGATCCTCCAGGGGTGTAATCATTTTGCACCTAGCTATACTGAAATAGCCAGATGTTTCTGTGATCCTAGCATTCTTTCCCAGGTGAAAGGGGGAATAGTGCTTCAGAATCCAAAATAGACATAGACAGGCATAGGGTAAATGTATGTCTGTGTTTGCTTATTAACAGGCTGCCAGCTGGCAACTAACATTTTAAAAAGCAGTTGACAACATTGGCTTCATTTCAGTTATTTGGGGAAATATGGTTTCCTTCTCTCAGTCCTTGAATGGATTTAAAGTCTGTATCTCTCTTCTACAGCAAAAGGCTTCACAAAATGGAATTCTCTAGTTTCCCACACAAAACAGGGTTGTCCACTCTGATACTGAACGTATGCTGAGGACCTTTATTATGTGCTCTCTTGATTCAGCTTTGTACATGAACAAGCTGAATACAGGACAGTTCTGTATTTGCATGACCTGTTGTTATTTATCAGGAGGATTTTTTATACTAGAAGTCCTAAAACTAATTAATACTTTGGGGGCACTTTCTGGCTTTCAGTTAGTCTTTATCCAGTGTTATGCCTGTAGGTGCTATTAAGTCATCCAGCTTATTCACTAGCTGGCAATTTTGCTGGGGACCAGATGCTATTACATATCTTGGTATATTGTTCCCCAGGTATATTTTAAAATGATCAAACTGAGCTTGAGGCATATTGTTGGCAAAAATAACTCTTGATAGAGAGAAGCAGGCATCAATCAGACATTTGAGATAAAGTTGTCATATCAAGATTAATCTTTTTCCATTAATTCTTTATAGTACTTTTTATTTACTTCCTCAAGGTCTTTTCAACACTTTAAAGGGGACTTCCCTATCTTGCTTTTTGTTCAAAGTCTTTTGGTTCAAGATCATATTTGTCCATTCTTAATATTGTATTCAGTTTTGCAGAATGTATATGGCTTTTTTTGTTCACATCACTGCTGTGCCACTGTAAATACCCTCATTGTTTACATCTATTTA